CAGTGAGATCTAGAGAAGGATCATTCATTTTTACTTTGTTGAAACAGTGAGATCTAGAGAAAGGTCATTCATTTTTACTATCACCATTCAGACTCCAAATCTTCTCCCAGGGTGGAGGTGGCTGTGGGTGCAGTTGTGTCCAGAACCAGCTCTCCTGTTTGATTTTTGCCTGACTTATTACAGTCTGGCTTCTGGCCAGAATCTTGAGTGGCCTCAGTAGATTAGATTAGCCCTAAGCCTTATTTTTGGCGAGTTTTCCAGCTGAGTCAAAAAAATTGAGGGTCCATATTTTCAGCCAAACATTGAAAAGAATCATGTATCCAGCAGAGATGATTATGATTGAATATATATGTCCCATGGCTGTAATTTCCATGTAGTGGTAAGGCTTCTATCACCTTTGGTGTCCTTCTAAAGGACACACTACACATCCACACACACCCATGTACACACACATACTCATCCACACATGCAAACACACTCAAAAACACCCACACATACCCTCCAACAAACAGCCACAGTTACACATACACACACATATTCCAGGAAGTTTCTTAAATGTATATCCTTGAATTAAGAATGATACAAGCTTATTGTAGAAAAAACAGAAAAAAATTGAAATCACCCATAATAACATCACCCAGAAACAGAAACTGTGTTTCCTGTCTTTTTTTCCTGAATATATCTACATATATCCATGGTTAACACTATTTTTTATGTACTGTTTTCTGTTGTTTGTATTTAATATTAAAAGCAATTCCGATATAATCTGATATTTGTCATATCATTAAAATATACCTATGAGCATGTTAAGAAGATAATTAATATATACTAGTGTTAGAGATTTAGGTTGATTCCATTTTTTGTTATTATAAATAATATCACAGGAAATAAATACTTTTATAGCAATTATAGTCACATTTTGGATTTTTTTTTAAAGATGGGTTCCTGAAAGGGAATTCCTGAGCAAAAAGCAAAAAAATTTTAAGGCTTTTGGTCACAGGAAATAAGATTTTAATCATTCTCTTTCCAGCTGACTAATCAACTACCATAAGATCCAGCACTGGTACTGGGGAGCCCCATCTGACCCTTGTGATTCTTAAATATTCAAGTGTGATGGGAAAAAAAAAAACTATGCTTTACATTCAGAGTGATCTGACTTCAAGTCCAGCCTTCTCACCCACTCCTGTGTAACTTCATGCCATTTTTTTAATGCTCTTGAACCTTGCTTTTTTTTTAAGTTTGACAAATAGAAATACCAATAATAACACATTTCGCATAGGATTGTTATGCATATTAAATAAGAAAAATGTGCCTGAAGTGCTTTGCAGGTAGCTAGGTCTCGGCATGATTTCCCTTCCTTCTCCCTAACCATGTGGAGGGGCAGCTTTTCACCCAGAACAGGGGTCAGCAGCCCCATAGCCGCTTTATTTAGTCCACTTGTGGGAGCAGGTAAATCCTAGTGGACCCCAGTACAGAGGAAAGGAAGACCAGCAAGAGGGAGGGTGGGGGCTGGGGAGGGGGAGGGAAGGGGGTGGGAGCTGCAGGGCAGGCGCTCTGACAGCACCCAGCCGTGGAGGAGAACAGCTGTTGAGCTGGAGCTGTCACTAGCTCCAGAGCAGCAAACCCAAGGCCAGGAATGGATGCAAGTCTGGCCTCTCTCGCTGTATCTTTGGACGTGAAACTTAATTTTCCATGAGCAATACGAGGATAATTTCTGCTTCAGGCCAAGCGTGGGGAAGAGGAGGAGGTTGTCATTGTGAACGTCTTGGAACAGATAATAATGGTGCAGTTGTCATCCCTTTAAGAGTGGAGCAACCTGCGTTGATGTGCCAAGACAGTGGGGTTATTAATTGCCAGATGAGCCATAAAAAACAGTCTTGGCAAAGGAGAGTGAGGCTCCCACAGGGGTTGCCAGGAAAGGTTTGATGAATAGATGGGATTTGAGTTGGGTCCTGGTGGGCAGGTAAGATATAGATTGACTGGAAGGAGAAACGAGGGTCTGCAATGCAGGGGAACCAGTGTGAACAGAAACACAGGGCCAGGCTCAGAGCCCCAGACAGCTTGTTCATCTGGCCTCGCTCTGAGCCTCACCTGCTTAGACTCTGAAGTGGTTCCCCTGTCTTGGACTGTCATCATCGTGAGTACAATCACAACAGCTAACATTTACTGAACCCTTATCACATGCCTCTGAACTTTAATCAACTCTTTTAACCCCCTCAACAAACCTAAGAGGTATGTATATTATTATTATTCCCATTTTATAGATGAGAGAACTGAGGCACAAAGAAGTTGTGTTATTATTCCAGCAGGAGAACTGGGAGTCAGTCCCAGGCAGGGTGGCTTGAGAGGCTTTTTATCACCTATCGTGTTACATCCAAAGAGCTCAGTATCTCACCTCTTGCAGAAAGTTATAGCATCCGCCATCCTATATCTAATAAGCCGTTCTCTTCTTTCAGGGACCAGTGGGGGGAAGCTAAACCCACCCCCGGCACCCCCTGCCAGGTCACCCACCACGGAGCTTTCAAGCAGGAGCCACCAGGCCCCAGCCTGGACCCCGACCCAGCAGCCCGGAGGTCAGCTGCGGAATGGAAGCCTGCATATCATGGGTAAGCGGGGCCCACCGTCTGCCGTGCTGGCTGTCAGTGAGGAGTGGTTTCCTCTGGCCTGGGGGAGTCGCCCAGCCCACAGTGCTGTCATTTCAGAATCCGTGCTTAAGATCGGGGGCTCACTCTAGCACAGAACAACCTACAGGTTGTGTTAAAGAGGATTTTTCTTGAGGCTTTCAATGGGGATTCCAAAACCCACTCTCCAACCTTCTGATTGATAATAGAAAGAGAAGATAACCAACATTTAGCCTGTGTGCGTGTTTGACTGTCTGTCTGTCTGTCTCCTTGGAGAAATCAGGCATCAGCCAGAAAGACTGAGTGATTTGGACAAGGTGAGAGGATGGATGGAAGGCCTGCCAGCAGGGGGACAATTAGGACAAAAACCCTGCAATAGGAGAGAAAGTCATCTGGGTCAGATGTGACTAAAAATCTTTGGATCCCTTTGTGGGCTGAGCTACTGTCAGACACAAAGCCTAGATCACAAAGAAGGGCCTCAAAGCATGAAAGGGCCACAAGACTCCTCTCCTCTTGCCATCAGGAGCTCAGGGCAGAACCCATTTGCTTTGGGAAGCCCAGGTCCCCAGCTGGGTGCAGGCTGTTCTCCCTCCTTCCTACCAGCCAGGCTGAGGACTCCTGTCCTGCCCACCCCTCCCCAGCATAGTCCTCCCCAGGAGCACGGCAGGGGCTTCAGGCCATGGGACTTTGCCAGTCCCTTGTTGCTGTCAGGTTCCCTACCTCTGACTTTGGACCCTGGAGAGGCCTGTGGTGCTTCTGCTCCCTTTAGAACCTTCCTTAAGATGGTTGAAGTAAGTTCGAGTGGAAGATGGGGAGAGTCTGTTGATTTCACTTTTCCTGATTCCCTATATCCCAGCTAAACAATCAAATCTGAGAGGTGAACGGATGTCTTAGGGGGGATAGCCCTGCCGTTAAAACCTTGCACGGGGCGGGCAAACCTGTGTGCTTCTGGAAGTTGCCAGCACTTGGGTCATGATAGTAACCTGAGTAATTTTGCCATTTCCCATGTGTGCAGATGACTTTGAGTCTAAATTCACGTTCCATTCTATGGAAGACTTTCCTCCTCCGGACGAGTATAAACCATGCCAGAAGATTTACCCCAGCAAGATCCCCAGAAGTGAGTACCGCCCTGATAAGACTCCTGGTTTTCCCTGACTGGCCACAGGCTGTGTAAGGGGTGACCCCAGGATTTCAGTGTACTACTGCAAGGAGGCAGTGCCGTTCGTACTTTTGGAAGTTTCAGAACATTCATTAGTCCTAATCCCCAAGGGTTCATTTAGAGGCTTCTTACCGAACACCAGGTTTAATTATTTGGCATGGGATGTGGACGCCTAAATTTACCACTGGCCCCTCCCCAACACTGGGGCTTTTGACTAGGGAGCTAAATACCCAAGGCGACAGCAAAATGGATCCAGGATCTTTGCATTAATAGTTGGGGAAGAACCCCAACCACCAGTTCAAAATCCTGGCAGACTGTGAAACAGAGAGTGCCCTTAGGTCAACGGTTTGTACCTTGGCTACGCATTAGTGTGACCTAAGAGATCTTTTAAAAATCTGAAGGCCAGGCTGCACCTTGATCAATTAAATCAGAATATCCAGGGTGGGACCTAGATGTCAATACTTTTGAAAGCTGCCAGGTGATTCCAATATCCATCCAAAGCTGAAAAACTCAGCCCAAGGAAAGCCTTCCTCCTTCTGATTTCATTGGGAGGCCAGGCTCCAAGAAATGCCTTCACTTGGCTGACCTGTCCAGCCCTGAGAGTGGACAAGGAAGACTGGCGGCCTGCCCTTCGTGGCCCAAAAGGGCAGGGAGTCAAGTACTCTAGGAACTCAGGAAGGAAAGAAAAGCATGGTAGGTGTTGACCGCTGCCTACTAGTTAATGTAATTCTTGTCCGGTGCTGATTCAATCCAACTGGCAGGGGTTGGTAAGAGGGAGGCAGAGCCTACAACATGGGGTGAGGGTCCAATGTGTTTGCCACCCCACAACCTGAGTAAGGCCCCCAACCGCAGACATCTGTGGAGCAGCATGGAAAATCGTCAGTGTCCAGGGTTAGCCCAAGACCAGGAACCCAGCTTTCTGACCCTCTCCTTGCAGAGGTGCCTTGGCGAAGTCCCTTCCCCAGGGTTCAGCTTCCTGCAAGGCAGACCAAGGAGTGCCAGTCTGCTCTCTGCTCAGGTCCGAGGTCCTCTTGGGGTCAGCCTGGGCAGATCTTTCTCTGCTGGAAAAGAAAGGGAGAGGGGAGGAGAATAAAGATGGACAGAGGGAAATTGTCCCATCTGGGGTTTAAATAAACTATGACAAGATATGGTGGTGGAGGAGACAGGTGCTGGGTCTGGCTCCTGTTCTTGCTCAGTCCAAGCTCAGCAGATGGGTGTGAACTGTCCTTCTTGCTCCAGGCACCATGCTGGCACCAGAGACTACGAGGTGTAAGAAACAAGGTCCCTACCATCGAGTTGTGACCATGCACATTCCTGAGATAGAAGTGGGAGAAATTAATCTCTTCACGATGGAGAGTCCTAATGACTGATTGTTTAAAGTGCAGAGGGCACCACAGCAGGTGTGAGGGTGGAGGTGGAGGTTAGGGACCTGAAGGCATAGAGAGAGGTAACATTTCCACATGGGTGGAAAGACATTCCAGGCTGAGCACTGCATGCACCCAGGAGAGAGGCACGATAGTGTTTGGGGCATTTAGGACCTACAAGCAAGTCCCACGTGGTATGTAAGGGCGCAGGCTGCCTGGATAGGACGGCATAGGCTGCCACAGATGTTAGGCCTTGAGGGGCAATGTCAATAAATAACATTTCTTTCCCCATCATATGGAATGTTCACAAGAGTGACACGGATGAAGATCTAAGTGTGTTTATTGGAGGACAGCTTAGATAACAGCCGACTCCCTAATACTGCACCCTAGCATGAGGCTTGTGCCTCCCCCAGGCAAGGGGACTTACAGATGAGGGGTCTGCGGCTGGCCTCTCGGTGGCCACAGAGCCGGCCTCAGAGAGCTTTCCGCGTGCCCAGGAGGGCAGGACAGGATATTCCTCCATAAATGGGCAGTCAGATTTCAAAGAGAGGACCTAGAAGGGGCGTGGCTGCACATGGCTGGTCCCTTCTCTTGACCTCTCTGAAAAAAGAGGGCAGAGAGAGCGTCGGTGTGTTACCCTATGGGAGGTGCCTATGCACGAAAAGAAGAGGACAAGGAGGTGTGTTTCCTCCTAACATGAAGAATGTCTTCTCCCTTTGAAGATGTTGGAACTTGAACCTATAAGCAGAGAAGAACTGTCAGTAAAATACTAACCACTGCCAGCACAGTAAGTGACCCTATTGTGGACTCTGCAGATGTGCCTGGCATGGTTCTGGGTGCTCTGCAGACCTTACCATAAGTTCTTAATGGAGGAAATTTACACATAGGGAAAAGGAGGTCCAGAGAGGCCAGGTGACTTGCCTGAAGCCTCACAGCAAGTTAGAGGCAGAGCCAGGAATTTCAAATCCAGGTATTTCTCGGCCAGAGCCAGTGCTGCTTCCATGCGGCCACGGTGAACTCTGAGAAGGGATGTGATGAGATCTCGGTTGAGTCAGATGACCGGTAGCTTGGTCAGAGGAGGTAGAGACCACAGTCAGGAAAGCTGTGGCCTTGATCACAGTCCATGGGAGGGAGGATGGATGCGGGTGAGGGTGGCCGGGGCTTGGGGGTGCAGACCTTGGGAGGAATGGGGGAAATGGAGGGGCCAAGGACCGCTGAGTGTCTGCCTGGGCCTGGATGGATGATGTGGCTCCAAAAAGAAAAAGCGAGAAGGGAGCTGGTTTCAGGAGGAGGCGAGATTATCAGTCAGGCCAAGTTGAGTCGCATGGGGAGCTGCAAGAGGGAGGTGACCTGGGGCAGGTCAAGCGAGGAGTACACAGGTCTGAGGCTGAGGGGTACAGTCAGGAATGGAACTAGATTTGTGGGTCATTAGTTTGGAGCCCTATCCTAAACCGGGGTCAGCAAATGTTTTCTTTAAGGGGCCAGAAAGGACACCTTTGACGTTCTGCGGGCCATTTGGCCTCTGTCATGACTACTCAGCTCTGCTACTTTGACATGAAAACAGCCACAGACAATATGTAAGCAAATGGGCATGGCTGTCTTCCAGTAAAACTTTATTTGTGAAAGCAGGTGCTGGCTGGATGTGATCTGCTGGCTGTATTTTGCTGACCTCTGTGCCCTAAACCACCCCCAAAAAACAGAATTTTAAAGATCATTGTTATCCAGCCTTTCTCAGTATTGTGCCGTGGAGTCCTTCAACCTTCAGACTCAGTACATCCTAGTCTAAAGTCAGCTGCATTTTGAGCCCATGGTGCCTAGTCTCATCCTGAGAGTAGAAGAAAAGCTACGTCCCCCACAGCTCCCCAGGAGGGCACAGGGGGCAGTCTGGGCTGGGTGTCTCTTCTTTCAGAGAGATGTTCAAATCAGTGTCCATGCCAAAATAAGTAATCCTATGATGATCAGGAAGGAACAGTTAAAACCAGAAAAACCAATGAGCTGTTAACGAACTGACATCCTACAGACTAGAAAGGTCATTTGCCATTTCAAAAAGAAGATGCAGTTTTCGATTGATGTGGCATTGGCAGACGCAAAATGCTGCAGGAGCCTCCTAGCACAGTTCAGTGAGCGGGTTCCTGCCACCCCTGTGAGCCGTGGCGGAGAACCTTGTTAACTGTATGAGTGTGAGTATGATACAGGTCATGCCTGTCCGATTGCGTTCTTCTTACAGCTTTCCTCTTGTATTTCCTTCGTTGACCTGGTAACCCACGATTCGAGTCCTTCATGGTCGGGGAGACAGCGTTGGTTCTGTCAGATGATGTGTTTTCACGCTCTTTTGTAGCGGTTCTGGGGCTCTGTCTCCTCCAGCCTGCTTGCTTTCTCTCTGTTCTCCCGATGCACAAACAGCACACAGATACCCTAAGGCTTAGCTCATCCCGGTGCCATCTTCACTGTCTCCGCTTGGCAAGTGAGAGCCTCGTTCTTTGGTAGATGATTTTGTCCAATTTTTAAATGTTTTTAAAAGACATTAGTAAGTTAAACAGAATCACCATCTGACCCAGCAATTCCACTCCTGGGTATATCCCCAAAAGAAATGAAAACAGGTGTTCAAACAAGAGCTTATAGACAAATATTCGTAGCAGCGCTATTCCCAATAGCTGAAAGCTGGAAACAATCCACATGCCCATCAGCTGGTGAATGGATGAACAAAACGTGGAGTAGCTTTGCGATAGACTATTACTGGGCAATAAAAAGGAATGAAGTAGTGGTCCGTGCTCCAACATGGATGAACCTTGAAAACATGCTAAGTGAAAGAAGCCAGACATAAAAGCCACATATTGTAGGATTCCATTCATATGGAATATCCCAAATAGGCAAATTCAAAGACATAGAAAGTAGATTTAGCAGTTGCCAGGGAGTATGGAGAACGGGGAGTGACTGCTAATGGGTACCAGTTTCCTTGTGGGGTGATGAAAATGTTTTGGGACTAGATAGTAGTGATGGTTGCACAACAAAGTGAAAGTACTAAATGTCATTAATGGTAAACTTTATGTTATATGTATTTTACCACAATAAAAAGAAAGTGAAAAAATTCTGTCACTAGGAAACTTTGGGGGAAAATGCCTACAAATATTTATTAACATAATGATGGTAGAAAGGTGAAGTCATCATCATATCGACAGATATTTATTGAGGCCCTTAGCTGCTGGAGATTTAGATAAATAATCCCCCTGACACACCCTTGAGAAATTCACAATTTGGTGAAGGACAGACAGGAGGAGAGACAGACACCCAGACATAATGTTTCAGTCTGGTGTTCCCAGCAAAACCATCCTCATCATGGTCAGCTCAGTGGGAAGGTGGCTGATTAGAAATTTGACTGTTTTCATCCCAACTTTTTTTTTTTACTTTTAATAGTGGCTAAAAAACACATAACATGAAATTTACCATCTTAACGATTTTTAAGTGTACAGTCCAATAGTGTTAAATGCATTCACGTTGTTGTGCAACCAATTTCCAGAACTTTTCACCTTGCAAAACCGAAACTCTGGACCCACTGAGCAGCTCCGTATTCTCCCCTCCCCTCAGCCCCTGGCAACCACCTTTCTGCTTTCTGGCCCTGTAGCTTTGTGAGTTTGACTGCTCCTGGTCCCTCATATAAGTAGAACCATGCAATATTTGACTTTTTGAGACTGACTTATTTCACTTGGCATAATGATGTTCTCAAGTTTCATTCATGCTACAGCGTATGTCAGAATTTCCTGCCTTTCTAAGGCCAAATAATATTCCACTGTAATTTTTTTTAACCGTATTTTGTTTATCTATTCATCCATCAGTAGACACTTGGGTGGCTTCCATCTTTTGGCTGCTGTGAACAATGCTGCTATGCATAGGAGTGTACCAGTAACTCTTTGAGACCCTGCTTTCAATTCTTTTATGTATATACCCAGAAGTGGAATTGCTGGATGATACGATAATTCCTTTTTCAATTTTCTGAGGAACTGCTATACTGTTTTCCATTTTCCATTCCTTTCAGCAGCACACAGGTGTTCCAGTTTCTCCACATCGTTGCCAACTCTTGGTATTTTCTGGCTTTGGTGTTTTGTTTGTAGCCATCTTGATGGATGTGAAGTGGTATCTCATTGTGGCCCAACTCCCTTTTTAAAGTAGAGTCATTTTACCCTTACAGCAAAACTAGCTACCGTTATTGCTATTAGCAGAGAAACTTCTCCACCGAGCACCGCAGTAACTTTAACAGTACTGGGTGGTTCGCGTTATGAAATCAAAGAGTTAGCTGTCCCAAGACCGAGAGAATCAGAAAACAGTGCCAGTGCCAGACTGCTGCTGCCTTTGTGGAGGGCCGTTGGGCAGTAAGGACCTCTGCTGGCGGGCTTATCTTGGCCACGCCTGGTCATTGCCCTCTCTATGGTCTTCCCTGATGACCGCTCCGGATGAAATAGCCGCCCTTCCTGTCCTGTCACTTGTCTTCTCTTCAGCCGTGCTGTTTTCTTCAAGGCAGATACCACCTCCTGGCACGCCGTTTATTTACCTGTCTCCTGCAGTGCAGTGCAGGGCCCTGGAGGGCAGGGACTGCATCCGTTGCTACTCACTGGTCCATCTGCAGCTCCCAGCATGGGGCCAGGCACACACACACTCGATAAACACTTGTTGAAGTAATAAGTAAGAATATCCACAAATTGCTAAAGCACTTACAGAGGAAATGTGAAAACAGCACAAATCTTCAATAACAGGGTTAAATAAATTAGGGCAGAGCCACAGGATGGACATCAGGTGTCTATTAAAAGAGCCCTGTTGAATATTTACTGACATGGGGAAAATGCTACACTACCTGGAGAAGTAAAAACAAAACCAAACCCAAAAAGCCAGCCTACTGAACATACACTAAATAAAACCTACATTTAACTTTAAAAAGAAATGATTTCGTGAATTTATCTGGAGACAGAGAAGTGGATCGAATAAAGAAGAGAGAAGAAGCGAGAAATACACACTCGATGGTGAAATGCTGGGTGATTTTTATTTTATTTTTATTTTCCTGATGTGTCACTGTTTTGTCCAAGTGTTCTATAATGGATATGTATTACTTTTAATGACCATTAAAACTAGTATCAAAATTCCAGATTACTGGGAGAGAGACTGTGATTAGCCCAGCCCTGTGGAGGGAAGCAAGGCCCCGGGGCACACAGGGGACCCTGTACATTCGCCACAAGCTGGGGGTGGTCGAGGGGGGAGCCACGCGTCCCTCAGACCAGCATCAGCTACAGCAGTGACAGTGAGGAAGGAGAGAGGCTGGATAGGCAATCTCGAAAGCTTAGATCTGGCAGATACTAGAACGATCATTTCCAGTGAAACCTGTCATTTCCTTTAGTTGGAGACTGTAAGGCTTCCCATGTGAGGACAGGGAAGGCCTGATGAGGGCTTGCAGCCCCGCTCCTTGGCGTGGAGCTGAAGGAACTGAGGCAGAGGTAGAGCGATCTGCCCCCGGGCACAGCTGGTGGCAAAGCCGGGCTTGAGGTGAGGGTCTCTGTTCCATGTCTCCATCCAGGAACGTCCGACGTCCCCTGCACAACACCTGCTACTCTCTGCCTAGTGCCACGTGGAGTGCACCTTAGAGAGACCGAGTTGGCCCTGAGCTGAGGGTTAATCTGCTTCTCCTAGGAGCCCACCTTCTATCCCAGCCCCAGGAACTGTCCTCCGAGGCTGGCAGGAGTTGTGGGAGGCTCTGAGAGAGACCCAGCTTTGATGCCCAGCCAAGTTTGTAAATCCTCTCTGGACGTTTTCCAGGCCCTGCGGTATTTACCTCTTGTTGGTTGGCTACAGAATGGATTTTTTTTTTTTTGGACATGAAAATATCTCTGTGTCTGGGAAAAGGTACAAGGCTGGCTTGGTTTACAAATGGTGAAACATAAAGTTGGCAGCCAGCATGGCCCTCAGCCCTCTGCTCCTTCAGCCCAAGCACAGACTTTCATCTTTAAGCCTCAGGGTTTAGAGAAGTCGCTCACGTCTGGGCTGCTCTGCAGCGAGCACAGCCGCGTTAGTAACGAGGACGCGGCCCCATCCGTTTACCAGGAGGTGGCAGCAGCAGTCCCTCGGGCTGCTCTGTGTGCAGTAGCCGCATGTGACTGGACAGAGGAGGAGAAAGTCTTCCTTAGCACAAGTTGTGGCACCCAAAGTTTGCAAAGTTTGTTTTAGTGACTATGAAATGCTCTTCTGTGGGAAAACAGCCCAAGCAGAAGGGCTGTCCTTGTCGAATTCTAAGAGATTGTAGTGGCATCTCATAAGGGGAAAACCCCTCAAAGATATTTGGATTAAAAGTCCCCTAAGTAACCCTGTCAACTTCCGGCCACCCACAGCAGTGAAATTTCTTTTACAAGAGGCAAAGTTTTCCTTTCTGTTATGATGAAGTTGATTCTCCAGTAGCTCTGCTGTTGTTTCCAGTCATATTTATGAAAAATAGTGGGCACTGCTTACCACTGATTGCCCAGTGGTTCTCCAAGGCGGGGATTTTGCCCCCTTCCTCCCACCACCACCAGGGACATCTGGCACCATCTGGAGACATTTCTGCTGTTGATGCAAATGGTCAGGGGCATGTGCTACTGGCACGTAGTTGGGAGAGACCAGGGACGCTGTCAAACAGCCCACAGAATACAGGCAGCTCCCCGCAACAAAGAGCTATCTAGCCCCAGATGTCAGTAGAGTCAAATTAAGAAATCCTGGCCCGGAAGCAGGCTTTTCTGTAGTAGACTGGAGTTTCGTAAATCTAAGAACAGTAGTTCCAAGGCCATACTGCCACATGCAATTAGGTCAGGGGCTGTATATCAGTGTCTCTTTATTTTTCACTTGGTTATAAATCTGGCTAAAAATCTAGCAATCCCTATGTTATTTGCCCAAAAATATCTTTATCCTAGAACAAATGCACTCATTCATTTAAAAAGTATTTTAATGAACATTACAGTGCTCATTGGATTAATGTTTTGTAAGTTGTAGAGACCCTTCTGTGTGATATGTCACTTAAAAAACTGTATCTCACCGTAACAGATTCTTAAGATGACTTACATACTCACTGCAGAAAGCTTGAAAAGGATTTTTTATGAGATTTTTAAAAAACAGTAAATCCAAAAGGAATCAACTCAGTTTATTATTTACATTAATTTTTTTTAAATTTGGGGGGTAATTAGGTTTTTTAATTATTTATTTATTTATTTATGGAAGTATTGGGGATTGAACCCAGGACTTTGTGCATGTTAAACAGCAGTTCTACCACTGAGCTATACCCTCCCCCATCCAGTATATAATTTCATTTTTAGTGGATTTTTTTAAATAGATGAGGTCTCACTATTTAGACAATTTCTAGCCTGATTTTTTTCTCCTGCACTTCAAATATCATCCCACATTATTTGAGCCTTTGTAGACATTCAGTTGGCTGTGTGGTGCTCCATCATTTGGTAATAAACCCTAGATTTTTAATCACTGTTGTTGAATACAGGTTATTACCAGCTTTTCAGTATCATAAATAATCTGTGATGAATGTTTCTGCTTTTCCCATTGCTTTGTAAGTAGCACAGCAGCCTGAATTGTTCGGAGGGCTTTGGGACATGGTTATTTAACTCCTAGTCTGTGACAAAAGCAAACAGAAAAGTCTTGTGCCAAATGCAGCAGAGAAAGAACCACAGAGACACCATTCAGACCACCTGACTCACGGGGAAAGTTCGTGAACACCTGGGAATGGGATTTAAAACTTGCCTAGACCGATTAAATCATGTATCTGCACATACACACATCCATGTAAGTAAGTGCCAAAAAGTGAAATAAACCTGGAGGGATAAACACCAAACTTTTAGCAAAGGTGACTCTGGGATAGAGAACTGGGATTAGAGAGACAGGCAGGCAGAGAGGAAGCATGTTAGGTTTTTTTCTCCTTTTGTCTGTTCTGTATTCTTTGATTCTTAATTATGAGAGTATATTCATATGTAACTTGTGTAATATTTAGACACAATATGTTTTGGAGAATGAGCTGAGTCCTCAGGGATCAGAGCCTGAGCTCTGTCAGCAGATACTTATCTTTTACTCCTTTTCTGACTCACACGGGAGAGTCTGGAGATGGCGGGGTGTCCGAAGCTATGAAGCTCTCACCTGCATTGAGATGCCAGGCCTTAATCACTTGTTCTCCTCCTAACACAGTGGATGGGACACCTCTGTATCCACGGTCTGTGACACAGAAGCAGTGGGTGGAAACACCCAGTCCAGGGCCAGGAGCCTGAGGGTTTCAGGTTGACAGGCTCACGTTACCCTTGGTTCCTTTGCTGAAACCCTACGAGCCAGGTAGCCAGAGTTTCTCCATGAAGACACAGCCAGCCCCTGGGCCAGCAGACGGTGAGATGGTTCCTGTGTCTTTCAGGCCGTACACCTGGTCCCTGGCTTCACGCCGAGGCGGCTGGGCAGAGCTCCGATGACATCAAAGGCAGAAATGCTCAGGTAACACATCCCCTGGGGCTCTGAGTGTAAACCCGGGAATCCTCCTCAGGGACCCAGAGATACTGAGGGTGTGCCTTCCCCTTAACAGTGTCAGGTGTTCCTCAGGGAAGGCCATCTAGGGGTAGCTCACGTTCACACAAGACAGCTCAGACACTGTTTTCTAACCTGGCCGGAGGCGGCATCTCTCACTGCACACAACAGGATCTCATCTTTAAAGGCCCTTTTTTTCTTTCAAAACTTGCATTCAGTCCTACCCTGGCAGCCTTGCATGCATGAGGGAAAGCTTCGGGGCCCAGCCCGGGGTGGGTCATTTGTGTACAGCCTCCTGACCCCATCTGGTAACGTTGTGTGTCCACAGTTATCTCTCAAGACCCTCCGGTGAGATGACAGATGAAGCCAATGTCCTGTGAGCCACCAGCAGGTCCGGGTGGCAGGGTGGACATCCCCAGGAGAACGTATGACCTCGCCATACTCAAGCTGTAATTCAGCTAATATAGAGGCTCTGAATAGAGCATTTATTTATTGTAAATATATGGTTTGCACAGGCTTTAAATCAGTATTATAGCCGACTTTAATTTGAGTAATTTAAGAAGAAAACACATCGTTTCTCCATTTTTTAAAATGCATCTTGGCGTTCATCTGTCAGTACAGATGAAAGCCCTGACCCCGCCTCCTGGTTTCCATTCCATGAGTGTAAATACGCGTGTGGGCTGGCCCTTCCTAGACTCTGAACCGTTCTTAGAAGATTCCTTAGTTTCCCAAACTCACGGTACCCACAACAGCTTCTTCTTGGCATGATTTTATATTCTCATCACACAAACTGCAAAATCAAACCTGATAATGCCTTATAAATGACGCCGCTCACGGAGAGTATGTGTCCCCACGCCCAGACAGCGCCACACGGCCTCCAGTGAACAAGATGCCACCTCGCTTCCGTCTTGCAGGACAGGGATTCTTTTGTTCCCTAATGTAAATAAAACGCAAAACAGGCGAGAGAGTGGGCTCGGCCCCTCCCATGCCACCGACCCCAAGGCCCCTTTTGTAACGAATGATCCTACAAGTAGCCAATGCTCTTACTGTTTACAGTGCCCCGCGCACCCGAGTCTCCGTGACTTTCCTCCGGTCCCTCCAAGTCCCCAGCCCCATCCTGGCAGCCAGGGTGAGGTGAGCTGTATGAAATTTCAGTATTTTCCCTGCAGGTTAGAAACCTGCATAAGTCGTTGTTAGAGTAAATTACTAATTCTATCTATCTCCGAGGTCTTTTTTGTTTTTTCTTCCCGAGTGCAGGGTTTTCGTGGAAGACAGGACACGAAAAAGTGTAGTCTGAAATGTATTGTGAAATATCTGCCTCAAATATCAGTGCCCCACCCCCACCCTTGGGAAACCTGGATCCACCCATCAGGCAAAACCTAGCTCCCCCCTGAGCTGAAGAGAACCTAACTGGTCTGAGACTCCCCCAGGCCCTGGGCTGGCAGCTCTGGCGGGGAGAGGTCTGAGTTCAGCCAGCCTTGAATATGGAACAGGACAGGACTGGCTGTGACCTGTGACCACACCTCTCTCACCCTTTTCCTCCAGCTGGCAAGGGAATGGAAGTGGGTTTTTGCTTGCTGCCTGACCCCAGATGCTCCCCATCCTTGGAGGGGAAGCTGTGACAGAGGAAGGAGAGAAAATAGAAGGAAACAGACCAATTCCTGGTCTAGGCCCAAAATAGCTGCCGATTAAAGGAAATCAAGGAGGGAGATGTGGGAAGAGCAGTGAAAAATGTTTCCTCTGAAATAACCCACTCAGTCACTCAGACCTCAAGGAGGTCATGCCTGGACCCAGCCATCCGAGGAGGGTACACTGTGAGGCGTGTTTTGGCAAAGCTGACCGCGCCCACCTAGCTGTTGTCTGGAGCCACGACTCAGATGGTATCCTCCATCACTGTCGTGCTTTCTCATTCCAGACAGAAGCCACTGAGCAAGGTCAAGTTCCCTTCTCTGGGGAACAAATCTTGCGAAGTTGTGACAGCTAGATCAATGGAATAGAAGCTTTTGCAGGCTGTCAGCTGTGGGCATAGCTGATTCATTTTATGGGTTCTGCAAGGTTCCTGAAAGATCAGAATCTTTTTATTATAACTATTTCTCCCACCCACCTCCCAGTTGTACAAAATAATTACAAGGGTTTTAATTATCATGATTAAGAAGGCCCCAGATCAAGACAGTTCCACCTTCAGTGCAGACTGCCTGCCCCGATGAGGTGTTTACACATTCGTGTTCTGCACCTCTGGGATGGAGATTAAAAATAAAACTGTTCCAGGACGAGGGAAGGAACAAGCAGAAACCAAAAATCGAAATTAGGGAGAAATCTCAGGAACCTGGCATCACGTGTCTCCTCCAGACCCATCACTGAATTCCCGCCCTTTAACTCCCACGGTGCCGGCCTCCGGCAGGACAAAGGCATAGCCCCTGGGCCACAAACTCAGACGTAAAGACATTGAGTCACAGCGCCCCTACCATCTCGCGTATTCTGGCTGGCACTGTTATCTGTGACCCCCAGCGTTTCCCGTGTGTTTTATATTTATGGATGTTCCCCTCTGCAGATTCATTTCTTTGTACCTAATAAACTTTAATAGGTGGAAGTGCTTCCAGTCACTTCCTTCGTGAAGCCCATCAGTGGTCACCAGCCCCCGTTGAAGCCAACCATTTTTAGCATTAGAAGGGCTGACGCAGGGCATTTACACAGGACCCAACACTCGCTTTAACATCCTGTGTTAGAAACGGGGACTTTCTTTTCGGAGCTGAAGTTGCTAACTAAACCACACAATGTTCTCCTAGCTTTTGTAGCTAACTAACCTAATGGGTATTTGGGGAAACCAAGGGGAAAACTTCCTCAAAAGCATTTTGTAAAAAGTAGGTAACACTGTATTTATTCAGTTGTATTAGTAGGAAATGGGCAGAGTAGTGCTTAGAACTTGCACTAACCTGTGCGAGAATGGAACAACTTTCAACCCAAAGTGCACTTAATACCGCCCCTCAACTTAGCAGCGCCCCCTCGAAAAGCTCCTGCATGGAGCAGTATCACCTCCACTTGCATTATCTTGTCCTCAAGTGCCCTCTTTAGAACGTGGTGCGGGGGAGAGAAGGTTTACCTGATACGTATAAGTTGGCTTAAGGGGAAACATGAGTCTGAACCTCTGTTCTCCTAGTACCTGGGCAAGCCCTTAACCCTTGGGTCACAACAGGCCCAGGCATCAGCGCACATGCACATGCACACACACGCACACTCCAGGGTATGAGCAGTTTGCTTATTACATGTGCAGTCACACACACAGCTCTCGCTGGCTGCACCCCAGGCACTCCATTCAGATGTTGGCTGAGCTGCTCAGATCACTAGCTCTGCTGCTGGGGAAGAAGGAGAGAGCGGTCATTAAAATTCATAGATGCTCTTGAAATAAATCTCATCTAGAAACTAATTTCAAAGTTAGCTGCTTCACACTTTGCATCTGAATTAGTTAAGGACAGACTTGTTTTATCTGCTGTCTTGTGAGTGGAGGCACAGATAAACTCTTTGACGACCAAAACGGCCCATCTGAGTGGAGAAGAAAAGCAATGGCCCAAGATAACCGGCAAAGTAGATGGTGAACTTTAAAGCCATTGACTGCAGAGGCTGGTGAAGCGGCCGTGGTTTTAGGCACCCCTGAAGGGGTTTCGTGTGGCAGAGGTGGTGCCTAGAGGTGAGGGGAGCAACTTGACGGGAGGCTGTAGACTCCAGAAGCAAGTTCCAAATTCTCAGACCACGCTCCAGGAGGTTGTGGCATCCATCCTTCACGTACCTGTTCTGTTATGGATTGAACTGTGTCCTCCAAAAATGCACACGCTGAAGTCCTAACCTCATACTTCAGTAATCTTACAGGGAATAGTTGTTGCAAATGTAAGTTGAGATGCGGTCCTACCAAAGGAGGGTGGACCCCTAATCCAGTATGACTGGTGTCCTTATAAAAAGGGGGAATTTGGACACAGACACATACACAAGGAGGATGCTATATGAAGATGAAGAGAGAGTTCAGGATGATGCTCCTACAAGCCAAGAAAAGCTGAAGATTGCCAGCAAACCATCAGACGCCAGGTGAGAGGCATGGGACAGAGACTCCCTCCCAGAGCTGAGAAGGAACCAATCCTGCCAACACCTTGATCTGGGACTTCTACCCTCCAGAATGGCAAGATAATAAATTTCTGTTGTTTAAGCCTCCCAGTTTGTGGTCCTCTGTTACGGCAGCCCTAGCAAAGGAATGAATACACTCTCTGTCACCCTGGGGCTTTGTAGGAGTTTGTTTATGAAAAAAAGAGCTGAGAATAAAGTTTAAACAGTCAACTGTTCCTTGCCATGTAAACGGACCATCATCTACTCTGACCTTGACATAGCTCACTTGTTGCCAGTGATGACTTGTTGCCAGTGATGAAGTCCAATTTTCATGAACAAAATATTCAGTTGCATTTTGCCTGTCATTGGAGACAAAATCATGGAAGCAAGCTGGCCTTTCTCCCCACAAGAGTGGGGAGAGCTGGCTTTTTTCTTAAGTGGCATCCTTTCCTCTAGTGGAGCTGCTGTGGCTTTAAAATGAAGATGCCTGGACATCCATGGCACCAACCAACCTGTGATTTTTTAAATTTGGTAAAATACACATAACATAAAATCTGCCATCTTAACCATTTTTAAGTGTACAGGTCAGTTGTTTCAAGTACGTTCAGAGTGTCGTGTGGCCAGTCTCCAGAACTCTCTTATCATCTTGCAAAACTTAAACTCTATAACGCTTTAACAATAACTCCCAGTTCCCCTCTCCCCCAGCCCACGGCAACCACCATTCTACCTTCTAGCCCTATGAGACCGACTGCTCTCGGTACCCCGTAAACGTGGAATCATGTAATGTTTGACTTGTTGAGAGTGGTTTGTTTCACTTAGCATAATGTCCTCGAGGTTCACCCATGTTGTAGCATGTGTCAGAATTCCCTTCCTTTTTAGGGCAGGATATTCCATTGCTTGGGTGTACTACATTTTGTTCTTCCATTCGTTCATTGTTGGATACTTGGATTGCTTCTACCTTTTGGCTATTGTGAATAATGCTGCTATGAACATGGGTGTGAAAACATCTCTTGGAGACTCTGCCTTCAGTTCTTTTGTGTATATACTCAGAAGTAAAATTGCTGGATATATGCTAATTCTATTTTTAATTTTTTGAGGAATCTCTATACTGATTTCCATATCAGCTGCACCATTTTATATTCCCACTAACAGTGCACAAGGGTTACAATTTCTTCACATCCTCACCAACACTTATTTTCTAGTTGTTTTTTTTTCTAATAATGACCATCCTGATGAGTGTGAGGTGGCAGCCCGTGGTTTTGTGTTTGTTTTTAAAGAGTGAATTCATCCACTGAATGGATAAATGGAGGAAACGCTGAACTGACTGGCTTTTCCAAAGATTCCAGTCAGAAGATATATGCCCTTTTACACACACTTTCTACGTTGTGACCAGTGCCCATTTATTCATGAAACACAAGATAGAAGAGGCCATGGGACATTAATTTTGGGTTTTTTTTTTATTGTATGCTTGATGTATTTAGAGACAATTCCAAAGGCAAGCACTGGATGGGGAAGTTATCTGGTTTGTAGGTATTTGTACAAAAGTCTGTTAAGACTGCGTGGTCAGTTCCCACTGCAGGAAACAGAAAGGTTTTCCTTTCTATTATTCCCTGCCCATAGCATTTTCCAGCTTGCACATTTAACCTCTCACAACATGGCTGCAAACATGTACGTATTTATTCATCCCCATGAGAAATCGGCATGGGACACCTCGGGATGTTTGGACTGTCAGATAAAGCACATTTGATACAAACCAGAGGAGAGGAGCTGGGACTTCGGACCACGTGGAACAAAATGCCAGGGCTACAGAGACACACAGGCAGAGCTGGGACAGCATGTGCACGTGACCTGCCATTCTTCCCTCTCCAAAGGGGACTGGCCAGCTCGGTGGGTCTCCCTCCCTCTTTCCTCCCTGTGCTTCCTCCCTAAATCCCTAAAGCCCAGAGCTCAGCTAAAGACCTTCCCCATCAATGTCCCGACTGCTCTTCAATCAAGGATGCAGTAAGTGGTTTCATAACTGACACGCAGGTCCCACTTGGCTTTCCTGCTGGGCCAGACAGAGCTATGTAACACCTGTACTCATGTGGGATGACATCGGGGAGGAAAGTAGCTTGCTTGGTTGATCATTATTTTTCACATCTAATAATTCACCCAATAGTGAAGAAACTTCCCTGTTAATATCTAATAGGCATACACCTGCTCGGTTAGACAGCTCATAAGAAAGACTCATTCTAATAATAACACTGTCTTATGTTATTGGGCACTAAAGAAATCACCGTAATTTCAAGTATACCCTTATTCTACCTAAAATTCCAAACCACGTCCAAAAATGAGAGTACTACTTCCGCTCTGCTAATTTACTTTTACTGGAGCCCCCGCCCCTCCTCAGAGGATGAGCGCTGTCTTCATCTGTGGTAAACCCCATCCATCTACTAGACAAGACTAGCTAGCTTCTGTTTGGTTATAGGGCGCAGGGGTAGGGGAGAGATTCTGTCCTTAATGGCTATGTCTTCTTTCTGCACAAGGCATGCATGGTCCCCTTCCCCTCCCCCAAGTCTTAATGGATACACAAATGCAATTTTTAGGAAGCTACTTACATATTGACCTTTACACATTATTTTCATAGTTCATCTTGAATATTCACTTTCCCCATACTGCCTTTAGAAAAGCAATCCCTGGTCAAGAAATTATCCATGTAATGATAAGCATTTGTCAAAAGCAGAGCCTGTTAGGAGCATTTAAAAACAAACAGCAGGCTCAAAATCCAACTACGTACTGCAAGCCGTTAGTGTAAGTCACTAGAAGTGAGTGCACCCACACCAGCAGATTCCTCCTTCTCTTCTTGTCTTTCCCCACGCATCCCAATGCACAGACTCTGTCCGTTGCTATTACTGGGGGTTTAACTGTACATAGACCATTTAACATCTGCCAGGCTGTGGCACAGAAGGGCTGCCGCGCCCCCTAGTGGTAAGATGGTGGCATCACAATTGTGGTGTATAGCAGTAGCCAAGACATCTAATTGGAGTTGGCCCATCTCTGGGGTTGCTGGAGTAAGATCAACGTCCCTAACAGGAGTAGCCATTATGTTTCCCACTGCAAGGTGGCTGGGTAATGGCGTAAGGCTGGCTGGGTTATCCATGACCTTTGGCCCATAATAATGAAAGCAGGCCTCTATGTAATCTATTTCACTAGTCTCCTTCTGCTCAAACCCCTAATCACCTTGGGTATCTCAGACATGCCAGGTCTGATGAAACGTTTCCACAATAGGTTAATAGGTGCGGGTGAGATCGCATGGTGAAATTTTAGAGTGGCTTTCTGCATCACCTCGTTTTAAATAGCCCCTCAGCAGGCAGGCTTCGAAGGGGAGGAGGAACCTACGTCATTCTCAAGCCTCACCCTTCCTGCCCAGCAGCTGCAGAAAGACGCTCTCAGAATGGCCACACCACCTAAGAAGAGACCCTAAACTCAGCCACAGTGAGAGCCCAGGCCAAAGCCCGACAGTCCTCGGCAAGCGCAAGCCCAGTGCGTGGCTGCTGCCGGAAACTGTCAGCTCCAATGGTCCTCCCATCTCTCACCGCCTGTAGTGAGTGGTTTTACATACAGAATGTGCAGCACTGCTGGGCAAAAACTCACGGTGCTCTGATGCTGACACCTTTACAGGCAAGTTGGTGGGAAAAAAGATCTGTTCTAATAAAACCTGTGACCCTGCTCCCCGCCAGTGTCTGATTCTGTGTATGGGGCACAAGGCCCTCTCAGCTCTCATGGCCGATGATCCACTGCAGCTGAGGAGTCACTAAGTCACTTCCAAGACCACGGACACTCATAGTATTTCCATCTGCAAATGCCTACCAGTGATGAAGAGGAGCAGGCCCAGATGGTACAGGTGAGGCCAGAGTAACTAAACCCCTGTCCTCCCAGTAGCTGGTGTGTTAACACACACTTCTATTCATCATCTCTGCCCCTTTCCACGTCCAGAGCCGTTGAGAGTTTCAATAGCTGGAGATAAGCCCCAACACTGCCGCCACCTGCCCACTTCAGATACTGGGGCATTGGGGCATGAGAAATAAAGGGAGGGACCAGCGAAAGCCAGCTGCTTCCTCCACAGGCTGGGCAGAGAGGGCGGGGGAGGGACAGTCACCCGGGGGAGAAATGCTTCCCCATCCATCTGTCCCCTTCCTGCCCTCTGTCTTCCCCAGGCTGAGCCCATCTGGTCTTCCCTGCACGCCTTTCTGGGCTCTGCTGGTAAGTCAAATCCTCCATGCGCACCCAACATGGGAAACAAATCAGTTTAATTAAAGTCTCTGCTGAGATAATGGAGTGGCTGCTCGGATTCCAGCTACTTAACTGGAATCTAAACAGTTGAGAGCTTCTCCCTTTCTTTCCTTCATTAGCTAAGAAACTCGCAGCTTTGTGGGGTGGAACTCTGCCATAGGGCCATGTAATGAATCCTAACTAGATGGCAGTCACCAGCCCCAGCATCACTGGTACACAGCCGCACCCGTGTGGCGGGGAAGCCA